GCAGGTGTTGGTTACTGCAAGGCTGTCCGAAGCGTCAGATCGTCTCGCAATCACGTCACACACGCCAAGCCGGTTGGACCTGGCACACTGACATGCCAACACGATGCAACCAGGGTTTCAACGCCTCTAGATAGGACATCGTGGAGGACATGGCGCGCCTGTTCCAGAAGCGTCGTGAGATCGTGGTAAACGGCCTGGGGAAAGAAGCTGACTGTCTCTATCAAGATTCAGCAGGAATGATCATGTGAATGATGTGCAATGCGTGCGAGATTCTGCATCGTCATGCATTAAGCTAGGGTCTCAAGTGCAACGCTGCACTGCCACCAGCCAGCCGGGATGATCAGCGTCTCGCCCGGCCTAGCTCACAGCCAAAAGATGGCCACGTCTGATAAATGTCTAAGGAATCCAAGGCCGAGGTCTGAGCTCCAAGAGAGCCACGTAGCATTGACTGTCTTTGAGTCTGCACAAGTGCAACACTGTTCAACACTCCAACACTCCGAAGCGATCCTGCGAGACTACACATTACAGACGTGTGCACCTCTGGCTCGATGCAAAGATGTCGACGGAACCTTCGCAGAGCACGGAAAAAGACTTCATGTGCACATCGGAAGAGCGTTCCAAAGTCTGTGATCAGTTCCCTGCTTGTACGGCTCCGGGCGTGCAAATCCACCTCCAGATTCATGTCTCGAGCGTCCGGAGAATCGGAAGCTACTTCCACTTGGCGCCCAACTCCAAGGGTCTGCACAGGCTGCTTCTCCAAAGTCGCGGACTCCTGCGCAGAAATATGGTTAATCGGAGCAGGACAAAGGTGCGTGGCGTGGCAGGAAAGGTCTGGAGCGCTCCAAGACTCCAAGAACTTCGCAATTACCGACATGTGCTGAAGCATGCTGCTACTTTTTTGCGTGGCATTGGGGGCAAGTCCTGGGGTGCGAAGAGGGCGAACATCCGTCTTCCCTGGATTTGAGCATGCCAGACGTGCGCCTGCAGAGATCTCCGGCAGACGCAAAACCCCGCCCAGAAGTCACCGAAGACTGAGGCTCCCACAGAGCAATCTTCTATGTACGGCCTCACGAGCATGCCCGGCCTGAGTAGAAGCGGCATGAACCTGTCTCCTGTCACGATACAGAATTCAAAGCAGCTCAGGCCAGGGCGGCCCGAACTGCAGCGTGTCCTTGCGGAGAGCTTGGGAAAAGTGTGACTCAAGCCTTCAACCGCCCGTCCTGTTGAGCAAGCTCCGGTTCAAACAGGAGCCCAACCTCTCAGTAGAGGACTTCGAAGGACGAAAACAGCCCGAGCCATAGCTCAGCGCAGCGCAGCGAGGCAGCACATGTCAAACCACTTGGCTGATAGGTCCTTCGAGGATCTCTGAGAGACCCCCAAAACCATGACGCTCACTGACCGTCAAAGACCTGTCCTTGAGGCCTGGCGGACCCCAAAGCTTGCGGCCAGACTTGAGGTCCTGTCGCTGGCTTGCTGAGGTGGGTTCTGCCTCCATGGTTGCGGCCTGTTCCCAGAGAGGCTTCAGCTTTGGAATGCCGAAAGGAGACCTGTGAAGGCCGAGGATGCTGAACAGCCAACAGGCAACGACTTCATGACCTGTTCTTACAAGAGCATTCCAGCTGCTGCCACGCGGACCAGCATGCGAGGTAGCGTGGATATGCCAGGTAATTCTCCTGCAGCAAGCACTCGAAGAGCCAAGAAACGACGCTCGCAAACGCGCGCGCTGCTGTCCTCTTTGCACTGTGGATCCATATCACGAACCATGTTCACATACTTAGCGAACTCGTCCACCCTAGCCTCGCAATGCAGCCCGGACGAGAGGTGGCAACCAAGCTCATGCCGAGAGCACCCGCAAGCAACGACCATGGCTGGCATCTGATCCTGCAGTGCCTTGGTACACGAGAACGTGGATCTTGCTTTTGCTTCGCAATCCCCCACTGTCACGCTGTCCCCTGGGGCTCCGTCTTGGAGGATAGCGTCTGAAGCAGTCGCAGGCTGCCTGGGATGCAGACTTCGTTGGCTCCGGGACGGGCCGGCTACTCGGCACATTCTGCCTGTCCACATTCGTAGCTCCAGTACGCCATGCCCCAGCTCCTACAAAGACGGCAAAGAACTTGCACATGCTCTCGCCTGTCGACACCAGCTTCACATGGCCCATGGTGGTCTCCCCGCGTCCTCATTTTCCAGCCCCGCTGCTTCTCGATGCCTGGCACCGTCTTGCTGCGTTTCCCACCAGTACTACGACGACGACAGCTGCCAGGACGATCACGACGACCAGGCAAAAAGCAGCCAGAGACCACCACACCAGGACAAACCGCCCAAACTACGCAGGAGCGCAGTCTCAATGCTCTGCGAAGTAGAGGATTCAAGAGCACACCATGATTTGCCCCAAGGACTGGGTGGATTCGAGTGCCCGAAGTACTGGCAGGAGTTAAAGATTTCGTCGCCAGAGGGTGTCAAATGTATGGGAATCTACAATGAAACTGGCTTTGCAGCACAGATCCTGCGTAAATAACTGGACGTGAGTGCAGAATTGTGCCCGCCCCAGTGGCAGCCGAGAACCTCCCATCACGCACGCCTCGCGGCCGCACTAACCAGTTCTCTTTGCTCTCAGCGACCGCTTCTTATGTTTCAGCAGGCGGAAGTCCAGAGAAGGCCTGGACGTACTTACGATGCGCATGCGCCGGAGATTCTCAACAGCGCATGTCCACCATGTCGTGGACAAAAATGCGGAAAACTGCCGAGATCGACGGAGCAGTCTGCCAATTAATGAACTGACTGAGCTGTCTGCATATGGGGGATTTGAGGACAGCAGGTGCGCGTCTGGAGCGAGGAATGGGAAGCACCTCGGCGACACTGAGGGCACCAGCATCTAAGGCAATGCAGTTGTCGCAGGGTATCCGAGGACTTGTCCTCTCCAGCTTGAACGGTGCCTGAATCAAATGTATGTCAGGATCCAGCCTAGCAAGACCGGATTGCTCGCGGTGAGCTATGTACAGCCAGGCTGCGCATATCCCCGCAATGATCCAAGAGATGTTGACAGAAGGCAGCATACTCCGATGGTGGCTGCACGACCTTATCCTGCGCGAGTTGCATTCTCATCTCCTTAGCTTCGCACGAGGACACATGAGCAGTGAGTCAGTATTCGGTAAAATCTCCCGTCCTCCAAACCTTCCCCCTGCACTGAGCTGCGCCGCATCTCTAAACCAAGACCAGCGTGACTAAACCAGATGTGGGCATTTGTCAAAAAACTTCGAGAGGGCAGGCAGAGCTCACCAGGGTGTTGAATTGATATCGATTGACTGTACCCTGCTGCTTGCTGAATTCGACAGACGTGATGTTGTTCAGCATATCAGGTGTCCGAAGCATCCAAGGGGTTATAGTTGTTGTAATTAACTACAAGAGTTTTAGGCTTCTCCAAGCCGCACAGAATCGCCGATTCAATCCGGGCGGCTGCAAGCAAAGGACTGGCCTGGCTCGTCTGTCGCATCTCTTGGGCCAGGAGCTCCTCGGAATTTGGCTCCGGCTCCGCTCGCGGTTGCAAGGCTCCGTCACTGCCTCGGGAGACGTGGAGCAGGCAGGCGAGGCGGCAGCTTTCTGAAAGGTCGGCGGAACTGAGACCGGGACCGAAGTAAAGCTCAAAGTCCTTCTGCCGCCAGTGGCGCGTCTCGCTTGGCGGGCTCGGGGCTCGGCTTTGAGGAAAGCGTTCCGAGCGCAGCTTTTCGAGGCTCTCCTTCTTCAGCGGCCTGCTTCGAGGTTCGAGAGCCTTCCCAGCCAAGGCCCCTCGCATCTTGATCTGCCGAGCTTCTTCCAGCAACCTTGTGGCTGGCGCATCATCCGACCAAGCCGACAGCAAACCGAGGAAGCCGTCCAGGCCAGCTGCGGGACCCTCCCGAGCTTTCTCTGGCATCGCGAGCTGCAGCTCTGAATTTACCAGAGCCGCTTCTGCACGAGGTGCCTCCTCGGGAGGCCTCTTTGCTTCCTCCGCGTCCTCCTTCTCACTCCCGCTCTCCTCATCATTCTCTTTCAGTTCCAATTTCGAGGCGCTCACAATCGCCGCGGCGTAGGGGCCAAGCTCTGCCTCGACATCCTCTACGTCTCCATAATCAGCTGCGACTTGCACAGCCGCAGCCCAAACACTCACGAGACCCTGTGCCAGCACCACTTCTCCAAGGGGCCCAGGGCCAGAGTTCGCGTCTGCTTGGCGCACAGCGTCCTCCTCATCTCCTGCTAAGCAGCGTATGGAGCTGCCGCAGGCCCAAGAGTAAGCTTGCAAATCCATTGCTTTCCGAAGGCCAGAATTCAAGCAAAATGACGGTCGCTAGTGTGGAGATGCTGACTGCGCGCAGATGTCTCTAAAGATCTCATGACACTGAGCCACTCTGATTCACCATGAGGCGCGTCCCACGCATGGCACCTGCATCCACTTCTGTCTCGTTTCGGAGGCTACAAGCAAAAGGCGTCCTTTTGGGCTACCGTGTCGTGGCTGCGCCTGTTCGCATGCGCAGTTGCTGTCAAAGAGATGCAGTCGAATCTCAGCTTAAACAGTTCTGGGGCAAACCATACGCATTGCACGTCAAGAGGCAGCTGAGCGGCAGGGAGCCGGAAACGGTCTGTTCTGCACGTTTCGGCTCTACAGGCCAGAGAACGTGCGGAAACATTGGAATCGCGCGAAACTTCACAGCTCTGGCCGACGCTTGGTGGCACTATCCCACCTCAGCCAAGCTATCTCAGCCTACCACCGAAGACTACAGACAAGGTAAGTTCATGGCATCTTCCATACCGCGTCCTTGCCATAGTGCTCAACCTCTTCGCTACACGTTGGCGCGAATGGCATCAATGCTAACACGCAAGCTAAAACACAGACGAAAACATCCCATAAGCAGCGAACGAACTGGTCGAATGCGGGTTTCCTCCACCCAAAACAGAACACAGAAATGTCACGAAGGCAGGTTCATCAGTCGCGGAAGCAAGGTCCTCTTGTGCGCCCGTCCACTCAGTCAACCAGCCCTCCTTCCAGCAAGCAGGCAGTGATTGCTTACCACGCCTGAGACTTGACCTGCACAGCTAGCCAGGTCCTCGCCCAAGTAGTCAATGTAGTAGTCCCGGAACTCGCTCGCCTTGTATGCCTGTGCCAAGATTTCTCTGTTGCTTCTTGTCAAAAACCTCAAAGTTGTGTGCAAGAGTTCTGCGTGGATGTCTGAGCCGAAGGAAGGTACAGTACGGGGTCAAAGATGTCCGAACCTTGCCATTTCTGGCGATGCGAGTCTCCTCGTAGGCAGCCGCCTGAGACCGAAACAGGGGGGCCAGCTCGCCACGAGACACCCGAACGAGCCCCGAGCGGCGGCCCACTTCTCCTTTCCATCCTGCATTCACCATTTCAAACGTGCTCGGATTGCTGCATGGTCGGATGGTGTAAGAGCGCTGGTCCTTGGGGTAGAACTTTTTGAAATCCAGCGCATTGTAGAGCTTGCCATCCTTTTGTATGTATGGATCGATTCGCCCTGCTGCCTGGAAGCCGAGCATCCCACATCGGCACGCCGCCTTTCTGTTCCCCGAGGGTCGCAGTAGACCCAATTGCCTTTGATGGAGTAGTGCCCGCAGCCTGGGAAGCACCATAGCCCAGCAGTCACTTCTGTTTTTCAGGATGTTGCTTGGCAGTCAGGCCAAACTTCGTGCGGCACCAGGGCTTGTCCTGGACACAACTCCACTTCCAAATGCCAGATTTCAAGCTTGGATTTGATGACAGTCCTCATTGGACATGAAATGAAAGTGGTAACCGCAGTTTCCATGGGTGGTCTTGCCTGGTCGAGAAATGCAAGGACCATGACTTGAGGAAGGGATGGGGGGAAAGTACCTCCTGCGCAGCGGCAACCGAGAACCTCCTGGCCGAATTCACCCACCAACTTCTCCTGACCGGATGGTTGTGCACAGAACTAGTCAAACGAAACTTCGTGTTCAGTGGTTTGGTCCTCTGCACTGGCCACCAAAGTGGCATAGACCAATGCGAGCAAACTGCTGCACCTCTGCAGCTCTGCATACAAGCTCCGATCACAGCCACGGCAATGTCAATCGTTACACCAACCTCATTCTGAGATTTCTGGAGCGCACATCCGCATGTGCTGCTAGCTTCTCTTTTGAGCCAAAACGCAAAGTACCGCTGGGCGCTCCGGTGCAAGCAAATGCTTCTCGATGAGACAAGTCGAGCAGTCAGGCAGCACTGCACAGAAATTGACGGTTTTTCTCGACGCTGTTCGCAGGTGACCCTACTTTCAGCACTGGTCCTCTGCTCTTGCATGCCACTGCCCTACTTCCAGTCTGTCTGGGCTTCCTTGCCCGACTTGATGCGGAGGCTGTACGTCCTGACCGGACCATGACAGAACGGCCCGCAACAGCAGCCACAGCACACCAAGCTTGTCATCAACCTGAGCAAGCAGCAAGTATGCCATAAATTACCGTAGGGGCCAGCGAATAGTTGTGCTTGCTTGAAGCCTAAATACATCTTAATGCTACTCTGTCCAAGATTGTCCAAGAGGCATCACAAGCAGCGTTGTCAGCATGAGGTCGTAGACTGGGAATGCCTTGTGGCACCTGTCATGCGATGCACCCAGAACGAAACCGCGGAGCCGGGCCCCCGCCCCCCCCCACCCTCTTCCCCCCTGCTCCTGTGCTCTGAGTCCAGGAGCAGCCGGCCCATGCATCGGGTGTCGGCCGCTGCAGCGACCGCCTTTTGGCGGCATCTCGAGTCTCGTCGGGGAGTTTGAGAATGCACAACCGTTTAATCGGCCTCGTGCAGCTTGCCCGCGGAGTTGATGTGGTACGCATCCAACGTCCGGCTCACGTTGTATCTCAAGCAGTGCGGTACCAGCAGCTTGTGCAACTTCTCAACATCGCCCTACGTTGCCCAGGGTCGAGACCCAGCCAAGCCGTTTGTCCAGAGGTCCTTCGAGCCAGGAAGCACGGCTGGCGATGACACAGCTACACGACGCTTAGCCAGTCCTGTTTCGGCTGCCCTGTCAACATTCGGAATATCAGCAACTCTCCAGCAGCCGCAGAGTTTGCCACGTGCCTCCATCCAAACGATACTTTCGTCACGGCTTGCACTCAAACATCACCATGCATCCAAGCCGCTCAAGACTTGTCAGATGCGTCTGCTGCTGAAGGTTGGTATGCATCTCCTGACAATGGGGGCACAATCTGGTTCTGCTTACTCATGAGGAAAGGCAGCGCTGGTCGGCCTCCTCGGCATGATGGTGATCCAGCTCGAGAAGTCCGACATCGGCTCGCCCCTGAGCAGAATGGCGCATGGAGCTCGCGAGCAGAAGGGGCATGCGGCTGCAAAGACTTTCTTAAATAGATTGCCTCTCGGGCTGCTCGGACGGCATCAACGAGCGGGAGCAGAAGAATCCAGACACCCTGCAAGCAAGTGCGTCTGACGGATACCAACCGCAGGCACCCACTTGCAATGAACTGGCAATGTGCCGGCTCGTCAAACAAAGGACGCGCCTTAACAGTGACAAGCGGAGCTAATACCAACGAATGGAGTACTCTCACCATGCTCCAGGAGGCAACTGATGAATTGAAACTTGCTGTCACTTAGTCATAGTCCCTGTTGCTCGTGCCGGGCTAGCATCGAAACTGTCTGTCCCATCATGCTATGGAGAGTTGGGTAGTAAGAGAAGTTGACAAACTACCTCTGAGCCATAGCATGGCGGCAGTGACGGAACACTGCATGCCTGCAGGGCAATTCATAGTATCAGTTTGCACATGCTTGCGCTCAGTAGCCATGGGAAGTCTTTTGTGTCGTGGGCTGAGCATCCAACAATGCTAGCTGGCGACCGTAGCGCATGAGCGAACCATCAAGGATGGCCTGGCGGAAAACTGAGACAGCGGAGAGAAGCAGGTCGATCCGAGACTCTAAGCATCTCTAAGCGGCTTCGCGCCTCAACTCGGAGCTGCGGATGTTGGGTGCAGAAGTGCATGAGGGCCGAGAGGCAGGAGAGGCAGGGCGGCTCCGTCACCGAGAGCTTCACGGAGCCCCGCAGTGGCTTCTGCGCTGAGCCGAGGTGGCTGTGCATGCTGTGCCTTCGGAGCCGCCGGCCCAACACAGCGAGGGCCCGGAACTCGGCACAGGCGGAGCGCTCCACCCGGTCGTGGGCCAGGGCCGCACCCTGAAGAGCAAACACTTGCGCTGTCTCCTCTCCGAGCCGTCCGAGCCTGTTCCTCCGTCGGACCTGCCCTTTCAAGCCGCCTGCAGCTTCTGTAGCGTCGTAGTCGATCATGCACAGAACACTTCCGACACCTCCTTCGTTTCCCGACTTAGGTATCAGCTCCTGTGACTTGGCTGTAATGCCGGCTGACAGGAGAAGCTCACAGCTTCCAACAACGCCCAGCGTAATGGCAGGTATTCTGCCAAGAGTGCTAGGCTCCTCCAGATATGCAACAAGTGCCGAGTCCAAGATCTGGCGCATGAACGGCAAGAGCGACGGTCGCAACGTTGGAAGAGAGTCCATCAGAACCCCGAGCTCTCGGGCACCTTCGGCGTACGATTACTCGTTCAAGCAGGCAAAGACCGTGCGAAGCAGTGGACGCCTTACTTAACAAAGCAGAGCGGCCAAGCGTTCTTGCATTGAGGACTACCTGCTTTGAGAAGATCGCGAGCAACCGAAGCACCTGAGACTTGGGGGGATTGACGGCTGCAGAATGCAGCGTGCACACACCTGAAACTGAAGACTGATCACCACTCACACGGGGGCCATAGAATCCACCAGCTTTTTGATTGACTTGCATTATCGAGGTCAGAGACGCCCTTCAGAAGCCCTTGAGGCATCTTATGTGCTCACAGGCTGTCTCCGCATGCACTCGTGAAACAGTTGCCTCACCCAGCACCTAAAAGCCTAAGCCTAAACTCGCTTCTACGAAGCCCAGTGTTCAAAGCTCTATGCGTGCGGAGCCACACTCTGCACTTGCCCGGTCCGTTCGATGAAGACTCTCGGTTTCGAGCCAATCTCATCAGCTTTCGGACCGGGAGAAAAGGCCAAGAACGAAAGCGAAGCTACAGGATCAGCGAAAAGCTACACGAACAGACTCTGTACACAAACACTTTCGCATCTCCACCCTAGCAGGAGGTAGCCATGCGACTCTGAATCCTGCTCATGTATGCATTGCTGCTGTGGCCAAACTCGGTGACATTCCGCTGAGCTTTGCTTCGTTGGATGTTTCGTGCCGATTGCACCGACTGGCGAATTTCCTCCTTCAGGGCTAGGTCCGCAGCCTTCGCACGGTCCATCCTCGCAGTAACCGTCTGCTGCATTGTTTTGTACTCTTGGACGTCTCTGTCCTGATTGTCTCGTCGCCGCTGCACCTCAGAAATTTTGATCTGATGCTGCTTCCGCTGCTCGATGAGAATCGTCTTCTGCCGCTTCTGTGCTTCACGATCCAGGCCTGCCTGCTGCTCACCCTGTGCCTTGGCCTCCACCATCTCCGCATTAGCAGCCAGAAATTGCCTCTTTGTAGCAATTTCCTTGAGCTCAAGCTTTAGTCGCTGCTCCTCCTCCTTCTTCTGCCGCTTCTTTAACTGCAGCTTTGCTGCCACGTCTACAATGCACTTTTCTCGATGTCTCTGCTTTTGCTCCTGCTCGAGAATCTTTTGCTGCCGAACCTGTTCGTGCCTCTGCTGCTGCTCGTCCCGTGCGCGTTCACGAACTCTGGCTAACATCTCAGCCTGCGCAGGGCATGCGAGCACCGGCAATTGCGAGAGATGCCAAAATGACGGCCTTTTCGGTCAGCTCCTCTTGCTTCTCATGCTTCTTCGCAAGTTGCCTGCAGTTCACGTCACCGGACCACACCGTGACATGTTTCGGGAAATGTTCGGCCTTTCGCGCTTTGCGTCCAGCTCCTTCTCACGCTGAGCTTCGACCTCGCTTAATGCAAGCAGCGACTCGCAGCGCGTTCAGAAGTAGTCTCGGCATGTCTCAGCATCGCACGATTCTCAGTCTTTCCCGTAGCTCGGCCAAGGACATTTCTTCCAGCAAACCCTGGCAGAGGCCGCGTTGCACTGTGTCAGCTCTGGTCCCAATGTGTCAGCTCTCGAGCTTCGCCAATGGCCCTCAGCCCTGAGCCCTTGGCCTGACAGGGTGGCTCCGCTGGATCGAAAGTCCTCGGATGCTCTGAACTTCGGCGCAGCATCAACTTGCGGGGGGCTGCTGGGCCAAGTTCTTTTGGCAGCGCCGAGCTGCTTAAACTTTTCGACTGGCACCTTCTCCAGCGCGCGAATCTGACGAATCAAATCCTTTTTTCTGTCCATCTCCTTGCAGCATCGGGCAGCACTCTGAACTGGACCAAGCGACCTGCACCAACCGTACCAAGCCCATGCGAATTAACGGCTCCTGTTCCTCCTCCTTCTTCTTCCTCTCCATGTCAACCTGAGGTTCATACAGATTCAACGTCCACCGAAGGCCCCGAGGATTCAGGCCTCGCGTTCCTTGCGCATGTGGTCGGCCTTCTGCAGCCTTTCCTTGGTGCAAGGAGAAAGGCGCCCCGAGGATATGCCGAGGGCGCTTCCCAGAGAGCCTTCAGCGCCTCCTGCTCTGCCAGGCGGGCTCTGTCACGGTCCTAGCGGGCGGAAGCCGATCAGAGAGCCTCCTGCGCTGCCGCGACTGCCCGCGACTGCCCTCAGCATTTTCTTCGCACGCAGATAACGGAACTGAATTCAAACATGGACTTGCCTGAACACCTTGGGAGTCCAAGCAGCCATGCCCTAGTACTCAGACAGCACGTCGTCGTCTATTCTGCAACTGTACTGCTTCGCTAAGCGAGTCTCAGCAGCCAGTCTTTTCAGAATCCTAGACTCTGCCATTCCAGGGTCTTCCTGTGGCCGGAGGAGCCATGACAAGAACTCTTTCACGTCAACTGACCCATCGCGATTGGCATCACATGCCTCGAACATTTTCATGGCTGAGATTGCTGAGAAAGTTTCATCAACCGCATTGATAAGTTGGCAGAACTCCTTGACCTTCATCCGTCCATCGCCGTCTTCATCGTGGCGCGAGAAAAGCATCACCAGCTCTGCTTCGCGTCGAGACTCGGAATCCGGGGAGAGCATGATTGGATCCTCGTCGTACTCTTCCTCTTCATTTGGTGGGGTGCCTGCATGGACCTTCGCAGCAACAGCCTCTGCAGTTGAGGCCGATGCAGCGGCTGCTGCCGGCATGATGTTATAATCGAGTTGCGCGAGACGGCTCCGGAGCCAGAGCTTGTAGGCCTGCAAAGCCTGCCCGAGCTTTTCTGCGTGAGTCAGCAGCTTTCGATAGCGTTCGATGCACCATCCGCTGATGTCCTCGGGTGCACCTTCATACGTGCTGCTTGCGAGGTTCCACGAGAGCTTGCGTAAACAAACTGGACACAAGTCCACCTTGTCCTGCTTGCTGTCACTCTCATGCAGACCACTGCTGCCCTGCATGCGGCAAACATAAAACTGGCAGTGCCTCATTCCCAGGAAATGGCCAACTTCTTTGGAGAGAAGCCCGTGGGCTCGCCGCAGCAATACTTCCAGGTCCCCTTCCCGTCTCTCTGTGGGGTACTCCTCGACCACCTTCATGACCTCAGAGCGCAAAAAGCCAGGCCCCCAAGTCCAAACACAGCCTTTCCCCCTCCCCCCTCCCGCAGTCACTTTCCTACTGTGCTCCGAGCTGTCAGCCTCACACTGAGCTCACAGCATCGAAGTCCATTCGGCAGCTCACTCGATACCAAGCTGGGTCCATGCGGCAGAATGAGAAGATGCCAGCACGGTCGCGGGCTGAGATGCTACTCAGAACGAATGTCTGCGTGCTGTCAAACAAGTCTTCCATTGTGATGCCCAGAATACAGAAGCCATCCGCAGGAAGGCGAATGCGAAGCTGCCTCAAGCTGTCCTTCGCATGATACTGAACATCGTTACCATGGCCATTGCCGCGCACAGCGATGCCCTTGCCACTCAGCATTGGATCGTGGTGCAGAATTTTACATGGCAATCCAAACCAGGCCTCCAGAAAGCTCTGAAAGATCCGCAAGTCAGGCAGACTTCCGACGGAGGAGCCACCAGGTTCCGTCAGGGGAAGCAGATAGATCGTGTGATGTGTTCTGGAGGGTAGAGGTGGCTGCTCAAGCACGTAGTCCTTGAACGTCTGTGGCTTCTCCTTCGAGTCGAACATCCAAGTGTCGGGAATTGCAGGCAAAGGTGGCAAAAAGAGAGGACTGAGTGGCTGAAGTATCCGTTGAAGCTTGTTCATCTCGACGGGACTGCTCTGCCTGTCTGGATACATTTCGTGCATCTGGATTGGGACCGATTTGCCCTCAGACATCAGCCGCACCGCAGCTTCATCGTGCTGCAAGCCTATCGCTTCAAGCTGAGCTTCTGGTGGCGGCGGCACCCATGATCCAGGCTCATCACGCGGAAGGTTCCTCCACTTGTCCAAGGCGGATGCTGTCCTGCCGACCCTTGTGGCTCCCTTCGTCACCGGTGGCATCGGCGACACTGGCCTCGAGCTAACAGACTTCGAGGGCCTGCGAATGCGCCCCAGCTCCAGAGAGCCCGTTCCGGGCCCAGGCAGAGACTGGGAGGTTGTTGGCAATTGTGGTGCGGGAGACTGGCTCCTGGCCCTTCGACCGGCCCCGGTACTCTGCGTGCCACATGGCGGCAGAGAAGGCAAACTGGGCCTCTCCTTGCTCGACCGACGCGACAATCTCATCTTGTGACCCGCATCTACCCTTACCTTCCGCTTCCAGCCGAGAAGCCCGGCAATCAGAAGGCAATCCGTACTCATCACCTCAAGTTCCGTCATACCCATCCAATCCCGTCTATACGTGGGACACTGACCCTCCCAGCTAAGTTTTCTAGCCATCCACAACATGATGCAAGAGATCTCCTCCTTAGTCTCCTCGACCAGCTGCTTTTTCTCGCCCATCTCGTGCTCTCGCATTCGCTCCTTAAGCATGCATCAAGAGGTTTGGCTCTTTGGGCTCTCCTGTCGCGGAGTCGCGAAGAGTCGTGATTGCTATGACAGTCCTGCATATCGATCTCCACCTGCAACTCCTGCCCAGTGTTGAGTTTGCTGGCGCGGTCTGTGAATCATCCTGTCCTCCCGCTGGTGTTCCGCCAGGATGTGCTTCTTGCGAACTGCAGAATCGAAGGCTTCCATGGCGACCTCGCGCGAGAGCTGCATCCTGAGTTCATGCAAGGTTCTGACTATAGGCCACTGTCTCCACAGATTCGAAGCATCACGTCCCCCTGGCCCGGCGAAATGTACCAAGCTTTCTTGGCGGTGCGTGTGAGCACTATGCAATCTACCCATGACGGTGCCACAGCATGGGGGCACACCACCGCCGGAACAAGACAATGGCTCTTGCTATCACTTCATAACCCCGGGTTCGAGATCCCTTTTTATGGCTTCCCCGGTGCTTCGGTCGGAAGGAATCTGATTCAGCTTTCCCACAAACTACCGTTTCAGTCGATCTGCATCCGACTCGGACAAGAGGCATCTGTCGACAACAGGCTTGCTTGTTGAGTCTCTCTTTTCTTCGGATTCTTCTCCACCCGGGACATGCTCTTCGGCATCTTCCGTGCTAGCACTCAAGGAAGCATTTGTGGCAGCCCCAGATCTCGGAGCTTGCGTGTAAATCGCACCTACGCCCACCCTCTCTACCACATGCGACTTCCACAGCTTACCCGCCGAGGAGAGGGTTTTTGCTGAGCTCCTGGCTCCACAATGCGCTGGCGCACACGCATTTCTTCTTCGTTGTGATCCTTCGCACCATGACAGCGGTCGCTGCTCTGCATGCGACCAAAACTGGGCAGTCTCCGAGCATCTGGCCTTCTCCTTCATTTTCTCTTGCCAGGTGTAGAACTGCGAGGCATCATGCAAGTCCTCCTCATAGCGCTTGAGGGCCTGGTACTCCTTCGCAGGTGCTTCGCATCCTCGGAGCCCTTGAAGCCCAGCTTCAATCCATGCCCTTCTATAATGCGGGGGGCCTCTGTCCCCTTTAAGGCTCGGGGCCGCTTCCCTAAACCCCCCGCTCCTTGGCCTGCTTCTGCTTAACCAAGGCATCCTCTCTCAGCACAGACGCCACATTGTGCCTCGCGCCGAACAACTTTAAAATATTAGCAGATCAACATGGCAAAAGCCTTTCATCCAAGGGCAAAACACTGAACAAAAAGCTTTGATGCCCACTGTGGCAAACACTCTGCCTGACCGTGGCATTATCGGCAATGGCGACGGCTTTCCTCGGATCCACATGCATGCACGCCTCCCACATGAAAACTTGATAGGGGGTCGCGCACCCGAACTCCGAATGGATTTGTGTGTGTGTCGGCTCCCCCTAAGCCTTCATTCCGGCACCCGCGCGACACTTGCAAGCGCGGGCATGCGCGCGCTTTCAGGCCCTTGTGGAAACACTGCGGCGATTTCGCGTCAACTGCCTGACCCCAGACCTCCACTCTTGGAAGCGAGAACCCTTCTGCAGCGTGCGATCGGGAAGACCGAACACAATCAAACATTCGCCACGAATACTCCAAACATCTCTATGCACAAGCGGTTTCTGGCTTGGAACACCGATGCTGTCAAGTCTCTTCTCCGTTTTGGGGAAGAAAGTGCATTCCGCCATTCGCTCACTTTCCACCTCACGTCTAAGATCGGGGTGCAGTCTGAGGGATTCCATCTAGCCATACGAACTCAGCGCCTGCTTCTTCAGGCCATCGAAAGCAGCTTCGTGGTCACGACGACTCGCTGTTTCCAGATCTTGCCAAAGCAAGGGTACGGTGTGTCGGTGCACTTACAGTCACCTGCGTCTTACCCTGCGGCATATGGCATGTAAATCTCCAGTAAGGTGGAGACTGAAATGATCAGCTTCGTCGTACTTGGCGAGCACCTTCTCCTGAAGTTTAGCAGCATCCACCGATTCATCCTTCAGCCGCTCCCCCCATACCTTCTCTTCCTGCAACTTTTTCTTCTTCTGCTCTTCGACCTTCGGACAGAAGCAGAGGTTCAGACGAGACTAGAGGTCACATGTCCCATCTCCCTCCCCTCAACACCTTATTGAGGCTGTTCTTGTGGATCGAGGTGGGAACTGGCTGAGCCTATGCGTGGCTGCACGAAGTGGACGCGCGGACACGAAGAAGGCTGGGCCTTGACTTGGCGGCTGATCACGTCTGGTTCCGGGATCAGTCGAGGCCTGTGCTCGCAATTCGCTGCGGAGACGGGTGGTGTGACGTCAATCTATGGCTTGCGTTATGGGACACCGTTTCATCAGCCCACTAGCACCAACCAGTATCCCAACAGTAACATGCCCATGAACTTTTAGCTTCTGTATTTGGCCACCGCGAGGGTCTGCAAAAGTGGGCCTTCTCGTGTAATTTAAGGCCACCACGCTAGCGAAAATCTAGCTAAACAAACTCGGAGGCGGCAGCAAAGCAGCCTTTAAAGGCAGTAGTAATCATTAAGCCTTTAAAGGCATTAGTAACCATTAAGCCTTTAAAGACACTAGTAACCATTAGTACCTCAGCAATCTTGAAGCCTCTTGGTTTTCGGGTCTCCTGCTGACACGAAACTCACGGATTCGACTCGAGCACCAATGTGACAAGTGATCGTTTTCGTCTTATGCTCTTTGGACATGCCGGTTCTGAGCCTTCTGCGACAGTAGGTGTTGGTTTTCCGGTCGCGCCAAACATACGACAGAGCATGGTAAGGTTTTGCCAACAAACTTCTTGCATAAATTCGTTGCCAGCAAATCCACGGCGCCTTGGCTAAACTGGATTTGGAAAGCCAGCCCAGTTAGGCGAGGTCTAGGAGTCTAGCATATCTTGGAAGACAAGGGCTGCTCTGCATTGTGCTGGAACCACTCGGTATGAACACGCAAGCCCTCTGTGCAAAGGAGCCATTTCCGACCTGAAGGGTGTTGGAACTGCATCAGATGTGAGTAGTGTTCTTGCAGAGCAGTTGATGCATCTACAGCTACAGCTACTGTTTTTTTGTTCTTTGGCTGCGATCCAAACCCTGGCTTGTCGCCAACCCCCTCCAAAAATGGGCACATCATGCAGCCCAGGTAGCCGTAGCTAGAAGCAAACCTCGGATCCACAAGTCCACAACATAATCCTGCAGGGACATATCAGACGGTCTGCCTTGGCAAGTCAAAGGAAATCGAAGCACTGCTTTTTGATGCTGGGGGTGGGATTAGGCGTTATTTGGGCTTTCGTTTCTTAGAGGTTCCGGTCGTATGAACTTCCTGATGACGTGCTTCTTTCTCCGTCAGTCTTGCGCAATCCGCATGCCACCAGCAGGAGCAAGCCGAAGCCACCGCCACAATCGCCGAAGCCTCCATGTATCGGCAGAAACGGCCCCAGTTCGCGGCTAACCTGCAGCTCACTACACGAAGAGACACAGAAACGAAGAAAACTACGACTAACTAACTAACTACGAGTATCCTGCTTAACAAGCTATGTTAACACAACTCTTCGCGGAGTGTCCAGAGAACAATGGCCGGGTCTGCAGCCACCAACTCCAACCTCTCAAAGCCCAGCGTTTCTCCTCCAGACGCCGCATTCGAAGGGGTCTGGCCGTGCTTGGAGGGAAGTCCCACCATGCAGAACAGGTCAGCCCTGCAACCGGTCCGGAGTTCGCAACAAGATGAGGATAAGAGTGGATGAACCAGAACTGGATTATGCAAATCAAATCCGCAACTCCCTGTGCCTAGCACGCATCAGCCAAGGAGCAAGAGGTTTGCCTTGACCGCGAAGTGGACTGGAAAGATTGCCTCATGCCGACACACTCCCGCCAAAAGACGACCAGTCTCTCAGGATTCTGATATAATATACAGGCTTCTACTGATTCTAGTGATTCTAGTGGAAGCTGCAGAACGTAAGAGCAAGCCTGGAAAATGCCAAAGGAATGCTGGGCGGCTCACAGGCTTTTGTGATCTTTTGTGTTCGCCCCAAAAGTTACAGCTACCCTCATGAACAAACACGTGAATCTAAGCATCATCTGATGGAACAAGCAGTTTCTGGGTGGCTGCAGCATTGAGCTCAGATTTGTTGAAACCAGGGCCAAATACGTTTATAAATCTGATTTGGAATGGGCGGTATGGCCCAAAAATGCATCTTTCAAGGCTTGGACAACGCAGTTAGAGCTGTGTCATCCCTGCTGGTGTTTCTGGCCAAATCGAGCTCCCGAAGCCTCCAACCAAGCCCAAATGCATTTTGCCAAGGCCTGCTAAACGTTTTTGGCAATTCTGGAGCTCGATGCCGTCCCAAGACCACGACAGTCGCACAAAAATGCAGCAATTTGGTTTCCAGGCTTCAAAATGAGTGTTGAAGCCTTGGAAAACGCATCTGGAGCTCAATGCTGTCCGTATACACTCCCGACAATACTGCCACCCGGAAACTGCTCGAATCAGTCAAGGCTTGGAAACGCATTCAGAGGCTTTAACTGAGCCCTCACGGCCCCAACCAAGCCCAAATGCAAATTCCAAGGCCTTCTAACCGAACTTGGCTTTCGTTTCAACAAATTTGGAACTAAATGCCGTCCCTAAACCCGAAAATCGTACAGCAGATGCTGTACTTTGGCTTCCAAGGCCCCAACAAGCACTTTTCGAAGCTTGGAAAACGCATTTAGAACTGTTTCAGCTTTTGCTGGTGTTCCTGGCCCCAGTTCCCCCATTCCAAATCGAGCTCCCGAAGCCCCCGACCAAGCCCAGCAAAACTGTGGTTCAATGCCGTCCCCACACCCGAACATGCTTCAAGTTCTCCTGATTCAGCAACAACCCGTACGTTGCTCAAAATGAGCTCTCGGAGCTTTGTGCAAACCTCATATGCATTTTCCGAGGCCTGTCAAACGCATTTTGCCCTGGTTTCAGCAAATCTTGTATTCAATGGCCGGCCGGGCATCGACAAACCATCTATACAGCTCTCAATGGGATTATCGGGTTTAGGGACGGCATTGAGCTCCAGAATTGTCGAAACGAAGGCCTAAATTCGTTTAGCAGGACTTGGAAACTGCACTTGGGCTTGGTCGGTGGCTTGGAGAGCTCAATTAAAGCCTCGGGATTGGCAAAGCTGAAACAGCTCTCTAAATGCGTGTTCCAAGCCTTCAAAAACTCATTTTGGAAGCCTGGAAACCACGTTGCCACATTTTTTGTGTTGTTGGGGTGTAGGGACGGCATTGAGCTCCAGATTTGATGAAACCAAGGCCGAATGCGTTTAGCGGGCCTTGACCAGGAACACGAGCAAAGCTGAAACATCTGTAAATGCGTTTTCCAAGCCTTCATAAATGCACTTTCGGGCGCTGGAAACCAAAGTAGATCATGTTCAATGCGATTTTCAGGTCACTTGCACGCTATTTGCAAGGCTCACGAAAACATGTGGGGCTTGGGCGCAATGAAAAGCCGAACGTGCTCAGGAACTTGCCCGACCGGGAACCGCTCCGAACCTCCTGCCGGAACCGGCCCCGAATCGGTCCAAACCTCAAGCTGGGACCCCGCCCCAAACCGTCCCGGAACCTCCAATCTACCCCAGGCCTTATTTCGGCCGAAGACCCCAAAGCTCACGCTGTTCGTGAATAAAACGCGAGGCTTCAAAGCGGGTCTGTCGTTGCCTGGCTGCTTGCTACTTTCAGAGCCATTGGCTTCTTGCCTCTAAGCCGCCTTGAGGGACTGGCTCTGTGCATGAAGGGCTGGCTTCGAGTTCACCTCGAGGATCCATACGCTGCCCAGATCATCGATCAGAAGGTCGAAGGCCAAAAGGCTGTAACCTCACTTGGTGCGGTGAAACGCTTTTCTTCAACCCGCCTACAGGGTGCAAGGGAGTTGCAAGTCACAGCAAGGCCAGTCGCGACGGAAGAAACAGTCATGCTCCTGTCTCTCCTGCAGGCTAAGTTCCCGACATCGAACCTTGGACTGTGCATCGCAATCGCATGGGACCCACTTAAACGAGTCTTCGGAAACATCAACAAACAGCGTTGCTTCTCTGTCAGGCAACGGATGCCATCTCTCTGCCCTTGGCCGCAGCAAGAGCTGCCGGCTGCCACATTGTCAATGAATCACGGACAGTTCTGAGGATGCGCTTCCACAGAGTCTCTCGATGATGTTCATGGCCAAGCGAGTCCCACAGCTGCTGCAAAGTCAAGTTTCGACCACTAGCATGCCGGCTGCCCTTGGTCTGCACAGCATTGTTGCTTACGTGCGCGCTGAGGTCCTCAAAAGTATTCCTGTCGTACGTCACACCACAAATTCGCACAAGACCTTCCCGGAACACAAAGGCCTCAAGTGGTTGCAAACTCGTCACCATCGCATAGACTCTGAGATCAATTTTTCGGCCCTCCACCAGCAACGGATTCGGGATGTAGCGTGAGACGACACATGAGCCCAAGGAACCGAAGGCGTCCCCACTGCTCTGCCACAGGTTTGCGAGGTCAGTGCTCCTCCAAATCTGAATGTGCCGCCCTTCCCCGAGCTGGCAAGGCTTCGAGATCCAAAGTGCCTCTTTCATATCGCACTCCGAAGCCAACTGCGGACCCTCATGCGGCAAGACGTAAGTGGAGGGACAGAAAGGCAGTCCTCGCAGCAGTCGGGCCATACGGTCCTTGCTGCACAGCTCGTACTCACCTGGCCAGTGGTTGACCGTGCACCCAGGACGGAGCTTCGAAAGGAGGCTTCGAGAAGGAAAAGCGTTGGAGAGGAGGAGGTCCGCATGCTCGGGTCGGTCCACCGTCTGAAAACCACCCGTGGCAAGGGTTCGGACAAGCAGTGAGATGGATCCCCTGCCCACTTTGCGGTCCTCCATCTTGTGCAAGAAAACCTTCGGAGCCACTTCTGCTTCCTCGCCTGATTCTAGAGGTCCGTCCCGGACGTCCAGAAACCCGTCGATGGAATGCAAATGAGTACAGCTGCTTCCGAACGGACAGCCACCCTCCATCGAAAAGCGCTTGCAAGGGGGGCGTTCGGGCATTGGAGGTCGGAAGCGTTGCTTCGTTTCCTGCTGAAGCATGGCTTCCACCGCTTGCCATTTCGTCTGAGATCCCGCCAAAGATCTGCGGAAGATCTGGAAATCTATCGAAGGTCCTTCTGGTTGCCCCTCCATCTTGAGCCCGCGGCACTGCGGAGATCAGTGTAAAGCTAGAAACCCAAGCTGTCGCAAAGTTCAAACATGCTCGCTCTTAGGTCTTGCCTGGCCAATCAGGATGCCCCTTCTTAAGTCCAACAACTTGGCAGAAACTTCTCCGTGCTTCTGATCTGACACTGATCTGAAATCTTTGGAAGGGGTGAGCCTTGGCTGCGTGAGGTTGAAGGGTTTGAACTCCTCAGGTACATCCAAAGGCACACCCAAAGCATCAAATGTAAGACTTGCACCACCTACAGCACCTCTGTCACTTGGAGTGTCTTGCAGTCATGCTGCGGTCAGCTTCTTCTCACTCTTTGCAATCAGGGCCGTGCCATCGGCTGCCTTTCAAGATGCCACGTATGCTTTGGAGGTCTTTCTAGAAGTGCCAGCCGCAGCACGCGGCTCTCCTTCACAGTGCCCGTCGCCCGAAACTCCACCTTCGCGCATGCCACGTCGGCTACAACCAGAGGCCTCGGTGAAGGGGGCCTCGTCGCTCGTCGTCTGGAGCTCATCCTTGAAGCTTTGCAGCTTGCCGATGATGTCCTGATCGCAACTGTCAAGCTACTTAGCTCGCTGCGGAACTCTCAAACCAACAACTGTCTGCCGAACACACAGGCATGCCCGTCCTGCTCGACGTAATCGACATCATAGAACTTGCACCACTCTACCTGCAAAGTCAGCACGCTCTTGGCTCTACCAGGGAGCTGCAACGCGGCCTTGACCCATTTCTCGAGCTCCTGAGAGGCAGAAAAAAGATTGAGGTTTCTGTTGCCTTCGCAGAAGCCAAAGAAGACGGTGAATCGATTGAGTTCCGGTTGAGCAGGCACAGGCACCATGGCTTTCGTTGCAAGTCAACTCCCCCAGTGCCAAGCTCCGCACCTCGACACTCAAGGCATACCTTGGCAACACACTCACGTCCACCCTGCACTGGTAATTACTTATACATTTTTGTTTTTCTATGCGCACGATTTGATTTGCTACTTAGTTGAATGACTGTTTCAAGGACTGTGAAATATTCCTGATTGAATGAATGATTGATTGATTGGTTGATCGGTTGATTGGTTGATTAGCTGGCTGATTGATTGGTTGGCTGATTGATTTACTCGGACTGACTGATTGACTGTTTGACTGAGTGACTGAGTGACTGATTGACTGACTGACTGATTGATTAAAGAAGCTTGAACCGGCAATTAGTCGTTTACAAGAGCATGCTCCAGCTATGGCCAGTCCTATGAGACAGCTTTGTGGAAAGGCGTTCCGTGTTGAGAAGATCGTCGCAGTTTCAAAACATACATGTGCATGCAGTGTCATTGTAGAGAAATATGGGGGTTTCTTGCTTGTCACCACGCCCAGTTTTCCGAACACTGTGACCATATCCCCCGGTGACTCACGCCTGGCTTGGATGATCTGTGGCTTGACTTCCGGCTCCTTGTTTTTCGAGCCGAGTGTGGTCTACAAGCTCTGAACTGACAAAGCAATGCAAACAGAAAATAAAAGCAGAAACACCACTTTCCGTGGCACGTACAGCGCGGTCTCGACCAGTTGGCCCCATGATTTTTCACCAGTTTACGTTCGACGCTTACTATTGAGTCATCATGTCGGTTTCTCTTGGTTCTGTGTGCAGACATTCATGCTTCCGAGCAACGCCCAAAATGCAAGTTGCAGAACTTGCTCACCATGCATAAATACATACATTCATTCAATCGTACGCAGTGGTGTACATCCATAAGGGCACGCATGGATGCATGCACGCATAATCAAGAACATACATGGTTACATGCTTACATACATACATGCAGATTTTTGCCTGCCTGCTTGCCTGCCTGCCTGCCTGCTTGCCTGCCTGGATGGATGGATGATACATACGTAACATAACATAACATACCATGTCATACCACGACATAACAGAACATATAACATGTAATAGTGTATGACATATAACATGAAAAATATCTCATCTGTCATATATCATAATATAACATATAACATATAACATGTAGCATATAACATATAACGTATTACATATAACCTATAATGTATAACATGTAACATATAACATATGATGCAAGACATATAACATCTAACATCTAACATATAACGTGTAACATTTAACATATAACATATAACATATAACATATGTATCTTTGTATGTGTGTGTATATATATATATATATTATATTGCTTTCAACCATGAAACTGTAGTAGATCATGGGGATGAGCATGTTATATATATGGAGGTTTCCGAAAATAGGGGACCCTAATATAGCAGCCTAAATAGTAGGATCCTTATTATAAGGACCCCAAAATAAGGTACCCCTAATTTAGAGAACTACCCATATATATATATATATATGTGTGTGTGTGTGTCTGTTTTTCCATATATAGACACACGCACATACTCATATACGATGCACGTCAAATTTCACTGCATTTGCACGTACAACATGTACAAGACTGAAACATGCACATACACACCGGCATATGCCTTCATTTTCTCCATTGAAGGAAAGACACTGCATCAGGGCATTGATCGCTGGTGCAGCACCATAACCACAAAGCAGAAACTGGCGAAGCTCCGGAACAGTGAGCCTCGGACATGACAGAAAAAACACGGAGACGATCGAAGAGCTCCCTGCAGCCGCGCAAGGCCCGCCGACAGGTGGGATGTGAGCTCCTCGCTCTTCGAGCCGGAAGAACAACAGGTAGGCGAGCACCAAATAGATGTCTGTCACGTGAGCTGCGCTTTTTCGTGGCTCAAAACCCCACACACAAAAGCCACAACCCATAGCCAGCAGGGCTCTGTTCGGCTCGCAAGGCCGCGGCGGGGCACTTGTACATGAAGCTCGTGATCTCAAAACGTTTTTCCCGTTCTCTGAGGATCACTCTGCAGCTTCTTGAGGCTGCCGCAAAAAGCTTGAGGAACTTGTGGTAGCGCATACAGCCATAGAAGACCTGCCAGCGATCGGTGTCCGGGTTCCGTGCTGTGGCAGGCCAGGGCCATGTAGGCGATGCAATGACGAAAACCAGATCTTGATCCAATCTACACGCTGCCAAATTCCGGTACAAGCAACGGCGTGTTAGCTAAAAATCCGACTAACAATGCAGTGGCCCTGTAGGTCGTAGCACGAACTGTGCCCGGCCGGGCACATCGCCCGAAGACTCGGTGCCGCTGGCGGGATGCGCACTTCTGCGCCCGCCCCGAGTACCGACCCAAGGGGTGAGGGCCGGCCGGAAGTCTGAGAGGTCTACCCGAGTCTACCCTTAAGCAGGGTGGCGAGGGTGGGAATTCGAAAAGGGCAGGTCGAGCCGCAAGCTGCGGTCGATCGCCCGCGCTTGTTCCTATACGCAACCGCTTCGGCCAGTATGACTTTGGTCGTAGCATAGTTTACCTCTTGAAAGCAGGCCTCCGGCGGAACATCAAAGTCCAACGCATGACTTGAGTTCTGCTGACAACCGGCAAGGACTGGTCCTTGAATAGTCCTCTCGTCCCTGGTTTCCCTCTTCTTAATCGCTCCTGGCTTGCTTCCTCCGTCCCCGCATTGACATCTGTGTCAGTCACCTGCTTTGGGCCTGATGTATGAACTTGAGCTCTGTGTCCCCCAGCTTCTTGTCCTTGAGAAACGGCGCGTCCTGGCACGAATAAATATAGCAAAAGATGCGCTCTGAAATGCAGGCACCTCCATGTATGCATCGATAGTTGTCTTCTTCGGGTCATAAGTTTCTACGACCTGCAGTGCCGCAACCGTCTCTGAGAAAACACTGGAGCTGCAGTCATCACACGCCTTGACGCATTTCTTCAGCAAGAATGCATAGTGTTCGCCTGCGTGGGCAGCATCTTCCTACTCTTTGGCACCAAACACAAAGTCTTGCCGGTGGCGCCTGGATCTGCGGCATCTTTCCCTGTCCCGGACATCTCCTGTCTACCAGGGCTCTATCTTTGCATGACTTGGCCAAAGGCCCCAAAGGCCTCAGGGCCGTTAGATGATGCCAACGGACGGAGCCATGGCTCGCAGCGCTCCGCTGCTCTGCCCTGGGCCCTCCCACATGTCAGTATGCTGTGTCTCTGTGCTCTCTCCCTGTCCCGTGGATGGCTGGTTTGTCTTCGCTTTCCTCTTGTCTACTTCGAGACGAACGGCTCAAATTTGATTTGAGCCTCGGAGTATTGCACATCAAGCGGCTCGCCGCGGGAAGAGTTGTCTACGAGACATGCAGCTGCACACAGCTGACTTGAGGTCGAAGGCACCTGCTCGCCTATGGCGTCAAGGACGGCGATGCACCACACTAAGCTTCCAGCTTCCTGGCAAGGCTGCTAGGTGCCATCGTTGCTGCCGTCACCCCTTTGCGTCACCTGCGACGGGTGTGGATCGCGGCTGGCCAGGCCGGTGGCCACGGCCGAGCCCGCCGGGGTCAAGCTCCTGTTACTGTAGCGCGAAACATCACCAAGCTACATATGTACTGCTGCCGAAACCAACTTGTCTCGTCCTGGCAGCCGCCGTCGCGAAATCCTATGTGCAAGGTGACAGTTGCTGCTTTCTGTGCAGCATGCTACTGCCATCGGTAGCCTGAAGCGTGTGCGCATGGTCTCGCGGTGTGGGTTCTCTTGACTTGGCCTCAACTGCCGATCATGAGGCGGGATTGCAGGGACAGAAAAAGCCGAGGAATGGACGACGACCACCTTGGCAACGGCATCCTTGACGCAGCGGTCTTTTCTTCAACATACAAGCCACATTAAGCCACCGTGTGTCAGCTCCCTGCAGACAACTTTCTCTTCCTGTCACATCAGCCAGCGCAGTACGACTTTTCTCAAGCTTATCGATGCATCGCTGAACCTGGCAGACAGCGTGCCCCACCACTGAGCCGCATTTGCAAGCGCCTGCAATCGGAATATTCCGGGACACCGAGGACCCTTCAGAAACTTGGGTTTGGCAAGCTGGCCTGCGGAGTGAGTCCGAACATCCTTGAAGCAGATTTCGCGCTGAGAACGTTCAGCAGCTAATGGCCACAGTGTCCTCCCGATGATGTCAGCAGTATGTCTCGAACACAATACAGTGAGTGACCATTGTGCTATACGGTGCAACCAGGAATACATAGCAACTTAAGCTGTAAGCAGTCCAACTCCGATCACTTGGAAGCAGTGTTGTTTTCCGAAGCTGCAACAATCAACCGGCACAGAAGAAAACGTTCACCCACCTGGTACAGCAATAGACCGTCCCGCATTTGCTGAGGCCTCTTCGCCGCGTGGTCACCATGCACAGCACAGCACAGCACAGCAGGGCACGGCAAAGCCCCTGCAGCTATGCCTGCGGTGCAAGCTTTTCAGCCCTGGCACCTGCCAGCGCTGGTATCTTCAGCATGTGGTGCGACTGGCCAAAATCTCTGGCATGCCTCTTCCTGCGACCACCTCCAATAGAGACTGGTCTTTGGTCGCGGCAGTCGCGAACGCCTGGAAAAATCCCCCCCCTGCCATAAACACAGTATAGACCATCTCGACTAAGCCGTCCTGCAAGCTGTTGGAGAGGTCCTGCGAATTGAAGTTGACCCGGCTGTCCCTCACCGCCCCGACCACCTGCACACAACTACGGAAGAAGCCGAATGACCTCTGCGTGCAACTGCACACGAGCAACGGCAAAGCGTGAAAATGTTGGTTCTGGCCTACAGCTTCCACTGCCAAACGTGGCATCGTGAAACCCTGTTGACGCTGGAAACCATTATACCCATCCAAGTGTTAACAAGGTTTATGCCATGGCAGTGCAAACTACACTATTCCTTGTTAGAGCACTAACAGCGACAATGCATCCATGTACAAAGTACAATGCACAAGGGGACAATAGATTACACGTGCATAATCTACAACCCGCAAGGAGGGCATGCAGGTCAAAGTCAAAGCAAGTCGGAAGCAGGTCGGCTTCTGAAGCTCGGCTTCTCAAGCACACTGCGAGCTTTCTCCCCTCCACCTCCTCCATGAAGTGAGCAGCTTCGTACTGCAGCTTCCTGAGGTCCCGGGCCTGAGTCTCCCATGTCCTTTCTTGTTGCGGAAGTGTCCCACAGCCAAGCTTCAGACTATGCTGGCAGAAGCCTGCGGCTGCAAAGCCGCTTTCTATGCTTGTTGGGCTGTCGCCTCTGACCAACAAAGGACCGACTTTGCCTTTTCTCATGGACTCACACACAGACCTCCAGCATCTCCGTATTCTTGAGTCGCGGCGCACTGCTTCCCCGTGCAAGGTTCGAAGGATCCTGCAATTATTCTTGCATCCGAGAGCACAGCACTATGCTTCAAAGCAAACGTAAATACACCTTTTGGCAACCATTCAGTGGAGACTGCTGCCTAGGGCGGCTCTTGGGAAAAGCCTATGATGACAGCAGCATTCGTTAACACTCCTGACAAGGCAAGTCATCTGCCTTGCACTCTTGTACATTAAATGACTTTGCACTGTAGGTCAGGCGTCAGAGTCTTACATCTTTCCACCTGCAGGCTTCCAGAAGCAACTCTGTGTGAAGCATAGAGGACGCTGCAGGGCCTTTACGGAAACGCTCCAGAGCCTAGGTTTGCGTGACACGCAAATCAGAGCCGGCATTCAAAGGATCGTCCAGTGCCAGCCAAGGCGGAGTCCCGAAGTTCGAAGTCATCTTGTAGTTCGCCACCCCTTAGAACTCCAGGCATTGCATGTGAAGCCTCCGGCCATGCGCCGCTGAATTCTGCCGTGCTGCTTGCGAGGACGCTTTGTTTCTCTCGCGTCGGGTATGCTGCTTGGCCGCTCTTTCCTGCACTGAATAGGATCTGCGCCCTCCGAGCCGCAAGCAGACGACTGGCCTCGTTCTCGCTGCCTTTCGCTCTTCGGCAGCCACGGTCTGACGACAGCGCAAGGAGCACAAGCGAGAAGTTCTTAAACGGAACGGCAGTTGCACCTTCATCCTCTGTTGAAACTCCTTTCTCTTTGCCTTGGCCTGTGAACGCGGAAGGCTCACGCCAAGCAGCAATTGCAGCAAGACGTCGTGTGCTTGCATCGAGGGATGGCACTGACAGCTCGGAGGCAGTGAGATAAGATGCATGACTTCACCCCCGCAGTAAAGGCGACGTCCACAACCCATGTCAGCCTCGGCATGTTGCCTCGATTTTCTGATTTTGGGGGTTCTGAAGTTCTTCGGGGCAAAACGGTCAACAGCCCTGGTGCCCCAACTACTGAAAACAGACCTACCAAAAGCATGGAGTAAGCGGCACAGCAACCAAATCCTGCGTGTCAGAGGTTTCAGCTAAAAAACGCGTTCAAGATTCATATACAGGATTCCAGCAGCTTTCCGTGACCAAACGCACAGAGGCAAGCCCTTGCTTTCGGAAGGTTTGTCTTCTAAACCTTTCTGCCATTAGCAAATCATGATCGCGATCTGGGTGTAAGGATCGAGTGCGTAGTGGCTAATGCTTGACTTCAGCCTGGCTGTTAAGCTTCCGCGGCAAGCTTCAAACTCCAGAGATCTCCAGAGCTTGATCTCTATATGAATGCAAGCTGAGTAAGACGTCTCCATGTCGGGACAGAGTCGCGCCTCGCTGCGCTCTGCAGCTGCAGCCTTGAGTGCCTCGAAGGCTCGGCTATGGCGGCTACGGGCTCGGCTACGAGGACAAAAAGTCGCCAAGCGTTGCCGAGCGCCGGGGCCCAGGCCCGACGCTTCTCTCGCTGACGAGCTCCGCGGCCCTTCTTCCCGCCGGCGCCTCCGGCGCCTTCTGCCTTCTCCGCTTTCCGCCTCCCACAGAGGCACCACTGTCCAAATTTCTGCGTCTGCGCGGGCTGACTCCGCGGGCTGACTCCGCGGGCTCTCCGCGGGCTCTGCCTCTTCCTGCTTGCCTTGGCTTTGGCGCTCGCCGCGCCGTTCGTCGCATCGGAAACACCAGCTTCTGGGCCGCTCGAACCTGCGCAACGAAAGCAAGAACAGACCGCAGGAAACCAGCACCACCTCAGCCGCTGTGGCCTGGCCTAGACTTAAAACTAGACTCCCAAACTCGAAGCACTAGAGTTCATCATGAGTACATCGAAGCGAGCGCAGGGAACCGCACAGAGCTCCCCAAGCAAGGCAGACAGCGACGCGGAACTGCACTTAGGCCGAGGTCCCGTTGGCTGAAATCGGAGCTGCACCAGCAATCAGCCCGACACACACATGCTGAGCATCACAACTGTCAGGCGCAATGTCGATTATGGTCCACAGGCTTGACAGCTTGTACTGTCGCGGACGAAATCTGATGGGATCATGCGAGCACCACGGGGAAGCTTTTAAAAACAGTGCGGCCTTTCTTTTTGAGCTTTTCCTCGTATCTCCTGAGTCATTCACATTCTGCAGTCTTGGGACGGAGATTTGGCTCCTAGCTCACGTACGAACGCAAAGTTCGCTCAAGTTCAATTGGACAAGCTTGAACAGAACCTGCAACTGATAAGTTTCTGCTGGGGGTCTGCCGCAGCTCTTCCTGCATTCGGAGCCTGAGCGCATCCGACGGACAGCAACGTCACCACCGGGCTCCGAAGATCACAGCCGTGCCAAGATATCCCAAGATTATCAACCTGAGTAGTGCGCTTTCGCTTGTCTTCGACGGCGAACTCGACAATTGGCCGGCGGCTGCCTCCGAAGACTGTCCTTGGCACTGCTTGGGCCGCAGGGAGAAGCTATGTCAGCTGCCAAGTCAGCGGCGGGTTGTCATTGAGGAACTCCAAAGCCTTCATGGCTGAGTCGTGGTCCTGTCAGACTCAAGAAGACTGTGCCGCCCATGCTATACTCGGTTCCGACTTGGGGAAGTCCCTGCCGCCTTGAAGGTCACGAAGCCGTAGCCCTTGGAGCGGCGCTCGCCCGCCTCAGTCCGGCGCTCGTCGTCCCGCACCATGCTGGCCTGGCGGCGCCGAATGGAGCCTCTGAGTCTCGCCCTCTGCCCTCTGCACCTTCACAATCGCTTGCTGGGCAGCTTTCAGGCGCTCCTTCCTTCCACCCTGCAACCGTGGAAGTGAGAAGGATCAGAAGAGTTTCAGGGTGAAGCGCTCGGGCAAACACCGCATCCACGCCGCTCGGGCTGTGTGCCAGATGCCTGGAAAACAAAACCGTACGTCATTCTTCCGGCAGCTTGTCCTTATAACTTCAGCCCAGTGGCTTCACTATCGCTTCCCGCAGCTTGTTGGCATCCACAAAGGTGGGCAAGTTGCGAATCTTGGCCGTGCCATGGCTGAAGGCCCAGAGACAACAAGCACTCAGGCCCCCGGCACTTATGCGCTGAGGATGGATTGCGAAGTTCGAATTGTTAATTCGCCTGCAAAGTTCTGTCGAAACTTCTGTCGAAAGCCTGTGAGTGCTGGAACGCCATCTCGCTAGGCTGCCGACCACTTCCTCTCCTTCTGCCCCTCTATCCGTTGGCGCTGCTCAGACCTCACACCATCACGCGATGAACGCTCACCAAAGCCTCCCCCGGCGTCAAGCCCGAAAAAGACTGGTGCATGGAACAAGCAGTCGGCTTGGACAGATTGTCCCAGCGTGGTGAAGTCCTGCATGGGAGCCGTCAACACCACTCACAAAACCGGGGACGCCTCTCAACCGTGCCAGGCGGGCTCTGGGATGTCTCCGACCTTTGGAACAATCACAGCTCTGCAACCGCTGTTAAGCACCAGAAATGGAATAGGTTCAGCGAGGTCACGTTAAGCAAGTGCATCCACGTCCGGCGCTCCTGACAAAGCATCGCTGCCGGGGAGGACGGCCCTAAAGCCGTAAGGAGCTGCCTTGGAAGCCTGTCCCTTCATCTTCGTCTTGTCGCTTAGCTCTGAAGCCTCACGGATGCGGCGGAGCTGCTCGCCCCTCTCGCGGTTGCAGTTGGCCCAGGCCTCCTGCGGCTTCACAGCCGGCTTCAGAACCAGGCGGCGGCCCTTCCATGTCAGTCGGGCACACCGTCAAGCCCACCTTCCGTACAGCGTGACAGTCTCGGCGGCCTTTAA